ACATCTAATCTGCACCAACCTTCTGTTTTACCTGTGGTTGGTTGTATCATGTTAACTTCAGTTTTTATTGTGATAGTGGCTGGAAGATATCTGTGCTACGAGGAGCAGGTTTCTTACACAGCAGGATGATTCAGAGAACTCATAAGCACAATGCGTATCTTCTTTAATTTCCTTCTCTCCATCTTCTGTTGACTCAGCCTATAACCCACATGTCCAGAAGTGCCATTTGTTTCTCGGGAGTGATTTATCTTTGCAGAACACATTTAATGAATCTTTGTGTTTGTGGTTCACTTTCTTGTAGCCTTTTCGTTCCCAGAAAACTGTATGATAGCCTGAGACAAAACTTAATTACTGTGGGGTTCGATCCCATTTTGTTTAAAACTTATTAACTAGATGCCTACATCCACATGTTCACTGCACACTCTGGAAGCTCTGATAAATTCAGAAAGCTTGAAGAAAACCAGTTCTTATAATAACAGGATTGAGGCAGAGACAGCAGGCAAAAATGAGCTTCCCTTTGTTTTGAAAGAAAACCCTTGAAATGGTCTAGATCTTTTGTACCACATAGCTTCATTGTAGTTAGACGTGGGCTTGTCACCTTAGAGTTGAGCAACATTTTCTGTTTTCACTTGCTTATTACTGTACCGAACTTGATGCTGAAATTAGCCATTGTGTGTCTTTATTTCATGTTGGTATTTCTGAGCATTTAGCTGGAATACGTTGCTTTTTCTCATCATATTTGAAAACTCTGCTTGCCTGTTTGAGATTCAATTTTATAGGCTTTCAATTTTATATGTTTTCAACCAGTAATTAAAAACTGATTTTATCTAATATCTGAGATGTCCCTTGTGTGTTTCTTTGTAAATTCCTCACATTTGTTCCAGTGTAAGACAGTAGAAAATCTCAGTGCACATACATCTAGAGGAGATTTATTTGAGTCATGCAGGTACTTCAGCAGAAGATAGTATCTGCACTTGCCAAAGTCTACCTCAAAGCCTAAATATTAAAGAACTTTGACTTTCAGGGCACCCTGTGGTTTTAATTACATCTCTTGCTAAAAGCATGATGATATAACATGAGAATTATCCATCTGGTATAGAGATACTATAGGAAAAGTGTTCATATTCTTGTAATCAAATATGTAATTATAATTTCCATAAATGAAAAAGTTTAGTGAAAGGAACGTAAACAACAAATTCAAACATTGTCTGATGTTTGAATATTTCATAAATCAAGATGGAATCGTTTTTACTGGAAGAGAATTTGCAATAGAATCCACTAGATTAATTTTGTACAGATGATCTTGTCAAGATTTTGAGAATTTCTGTCAAGGAAGATTGAAGCAATGGCATTTCTACATTGGGGAAGTAGAAGAGGTTAAGATATCTCCAGAACAATGTATTGAGAGTTAAATAAATTTTTAAAAAGTCATTCCAAATATATTTATGTATGCTTTTATCACAGTCTTCTTTCCTTTTCCCTTTCCCTGATTGAAGTTCACTTCCCAAATCCATTTTTGTTACTTGAATCAGCAATTCTATTTTCTGATAAGTCTTTGTGTTTATTTTTACAACCCCTCTGACTTTTTAATCTTTTGAGCTTTTACTCATAGTATGTTCACATAAATATTGCACTAAAGATTTATTGGAAGCTTGGTTTTAAGTTCTTAACCTTCTACTACCCTTATCTAAACTGTACAAGGTTTTTCTGTATTTTAGTTGAAAATAGTGATCTTTTGTAAAGCAAAAGTGAAATTTGTGTGAGTTCTGATCAATACTGACAAGGCCAAACTTAAACCAGAAGCTACATTTTCATAAAGATTACAAAATGTCAGATATGCTGCATGCTATGAGAAAAGGAAGCTGTTGTTTCATCTGCCTGATGCAGACTCTATCCTTGATATATAGCCCATAGCTGACATTATTTTGGTTTAATTTTCTAGTTTATTTCAGTTATCTCCCTTCTGCTTTTCTGTCCATCTGTTTCCATATAAATCATCATATTTCATATACATCATTGCTTCTCATATAGTGTGAGTCCTAGTCTCCACTTGCATTTAATTTGCCTTGCATGAAAGTGGAAAAAATATCACATTTTCTTAGAATCAGATGACTGTATGGCTTACTCTGAGACACTGAAAACAAAGTAGAGCTTCCTGAATGTTTGCAGCTAAGGACAAAAATTATTTGACCTATTCTCTCATTACACTGATTATGAACACAGCCAAGGGTCTGTAGGGCAAAGCAAGACAGGAATTGTGCAAATACATCTTCCTATGTCTTTTTTCCCAGTGAGTTTTTTTTCTTTTTTTCTCTTCAATGAGTTTGCACATTTTTAAAAATCCTTTAAAAACAGACACTGTTTTTGAAAGACTCCTTAAAGTCTATGAAGCTGTGATTACTTTTTAAAAATACTTTTTTTTTTTTTTATTTAAATCTTCTTAAATCAGAGTATGCTCTGCTTAAAAAAAAAAAAAAAAAAAAAAAAAAAAGCGAGGTTTTCACTGAGTTTTATCTGGGCTAGGTCATGAAATCTGTGGTGAAAATGTGCTTTTGGTTATATTTCAGTGCAGACCTCATGGAAAATGAAAAGAATTCCTTGCTGATAAATAATGCGTAAATGCATAGATGCAGAATTCAATTTAGTCTTTATAGAGATATTGCTGCAGATAGAAATTGTATGCTAAACCCAGTTATACTACAAACCTTCCATTTTTTATTACTGTGTATTTTCTTCTGAACATGAAACTCCTGTTTGTGACTGATGTCCAGCTCTAACCTGGACCAATTCTAGGATAAGCACATGCGAAGTAAGGACCCAACATATTGTGTGCTCTTTGGTGACCATACTTGTAAATCTTTTATAATAAAAGATAAAAAAAAAAGATCTATTTAAGTGTAGAAATAATCAGCATCTAATAACTTTAAAGGTAATTTTATGATTTGACTTGTAAGTAAGTTATGATTTGACTTGTAAGCTCTACTGCTTCAGATCTAGTGTCTATCTAGCTGGCTGTTGTAAACAGGCACTTAAGAAAGAGAGAGAACTGGACAGGAATATTTGCATATGTGATGATTACCCCCGATGTTCTCTCAGCCTCCAGCTATTTTCAGCTCAAGGGATTTCATGAGCTCTTTGTTACTGTCTGTTTCATATCCTTCAGTGGATCTGTCTTCCAAGACTTCTCTGTTCTCCCCTTGAACCCATACTTTCAGATCAAATTTCTAATATTCACAACATCCTTTGGAAAGTTTTGGGTTTTCTTTCACAAGTCTGGTGTCCGTTACATGAATAACCACTGCCTTTGGCTCATTTTGAAACTGGGTACCAGAGACTGATTTAGAGGTTGCACACACTTATTAGTAGTTCAGCTTTTTCATCCTTGACTTCATATCGAGCTCTTAAGTGAATACCATCTGCTCCTGGTATTTATTTGTGCTGCCTATCTGTACTCTAACATCTTGCATCAGTGTGTCAGTAGATAGACGATTACAAGGTAATACAATGGCAATTTTCCCCTTCTTTTTAATGGGTATGTTTCTTGAGAGTTTGATAATAAAGTTGGATTTTTTTTTTTCTTTTCAAATTGACAGTGGTTTAGATTGTGCTTTAGAGAACTCAATTTTCATATAGTGATGGAATAATGTTATAAAATATCAGAAGGCTGTAGCAAGATTAATGTTTCTGGTGCTTAAAAATCACTGCAAAGTTGCATGCAGCAAAATAAACACAAGAAATATGAAACACAAGAGCAGGTCAAATTCTTCCTGCACATTAAAACAAAGCTGAAAATTGAAGATGAACTGAATATTTATCAATTATAATCATATTTGACTTTTTAATAATATGCTTGTAAATACACAAAACTGTTGTTTTTTTTCTCTGATGCACAGTGAAAATCAGCTTTAGTGCTTAACTTGCATTTCACTAGATGAAAGCAAGTATTCTCAATTTCTTTTTCTTTCTAGCATTAGAATTTTAGAAGATGCTCCTGTGGTCATGCTGTTTGCCCTTCATTTTTCCAGAAAATTCCAAGTAGTTCTAGAAGTGTTTGTTCAGAAGTAGGTTAATATTTACTTCTTACAAAAAAGGTTTAGAGTTTCAAAGAAAAGTGTGGCTTCCTACCACCACTTCTACTGCCTAGTCTATGACAAAACCAGACTATTCTTCTTTCATTATCCATAAACTTTGTGGTTTGTATTGAATTGAAACTAAAGTCAGCATAGATCTCATCCAGAAGTTCTCAGTAAGGCCTAATGAGTTACTTATTCTATTGATGGACAAAAATGGAAAGATTTTCAATTTAAACACGTAAGAGGTATTGTTTAACTAAAACATATTAGTTAACTCTTATGTAGTGCCTGCCTTGGATTTGTGCCTTGAATATGTTGCTGAAGATTTTATTCTAAGAAACCTTTCCAACAACGGTAAAATAAGTTTGCTTTTCATTACTGATCTTCAGGATAACCTATCAATGTAAAATATGTTGAGGTCTCTTAAATGAGAAAGAGAAATGAATTCTAGCTTTTTTTTTGCTTTTTCAAAGAGTAATGAGCCAAGTAGTAACTTTATTAGAGATTAAGTGTAAAAAAGTTCTAGTGAGGTGTCTTTAAACAGAGAAATGTGGAGATTAATTGAGAAAAAAATATGTTGATATTGCTGTAGATTAAAGAGGAATGAAGCCAAGCTTCAGTATGGATGGAGGTGCCATGGGAAATACCAAAAGAGCTAACATGAATAAAAGTTGCCAGCATTGCTTAGTATAGCAGATAATCTACTGGGCCTTTATCAGAATGAAGCTTTGTTGGTTTTCTTGGTTTATGAAAGTTTTTACTGGCTTTCTTTCTTGTTATTAAAATCTGAAAATGATGATAAATTGTGATACTGTTCTTTGAAAGAGAAGATGAAAGTCTACTTCTCTTCACTACTACAAAGTAGTGAAAAGTAATCAATGTGAACTGACTTTTGCACATGTTTTTGTTTTTTTTTTTTTTTAATAGGTGAAATGAGGAATGATTTATACATCACTGTAGAAAGAGGAGAATTTGAGAAAGGAGGGAAAAGTGTGGCCAGAAATGTGGAAGTGACAATGCACGTTGTGGACAGCGGTGGTCAGATTTTAAGGGTACTTTTGTTGTGAATTTGTCCTTGCTGTAGTTAACCTTGATACACTTCTTCAGAGTAAATCATCTTTAGGTGCTGTTATTTAACAAATACAAAATTGATTGTAAGAGGTCTTATATATATTTTGCTCTGTATAGGTATTCAAAGCATTTCCACTTTATATGTTTTATTTCTGTAATCAATTACACGATCCAGATAAACACCTAAAATCACTAATCAAATAACTAATGATTTCATTAAGATACTGTAAAATGTTGAAGCAAGATTACATTCTGGAGAATTTTTGATTTGATGATTCTTAGTTTAATTCGAAAGTACTTTTTTCATATATTTTGTATGCACTTTTTTCCTATCTTCTGTATGATGTTGAGAGTTACAGGGTGACAAAATGAAGAAAGACACATACAGCCTGGTTCAAACTGCATACCTGCATGCATATTTGCAAATTGAAGTTGTATGTGAATGCATGGAGTGCTGTATATGTGTGTTTTATATTAAATGTTTTTTTATATATATGCATGTTTATATATATACTTATAAAGAATATTAAGATTATAATTGCTGAGGAGAAAAGCATAGTTTTCCTACAGAAAATTGATAGATATCCTCAAGACAAGATCCTGAGAAACCTGTTTGCCTTCTTTGCTGAGGAAATACCATTGTGGGTGTTGCAAAGGCAACTCAACACATTGCTTGTTAGCCGTCAGGGGATCCGTATTTCTTTACTGTTTCATGCTGGCACACATCACTGACAACAGAAAGCTCTCAGGTTTATTTCACGTGAATCAGGGTCCTGTAGTCAGTGTTGTTCTTGTATCACTTAAATTCTTATGTACTTACTGCAGGAACCACCCTGTGTAATTCCATGTCACACGTGTTGCTTAAGCCTTCCTAGTCACTCAGTTACTCCTTTAAAATAGTTTGATTCTTGTCTGTGTGGATGATTTTTTGCTGTTTTTTCTTATCAGCAAGTGTTTAAAAATGTTAGTAATGTGTTAACAAATCTATCTTTAAAAATTTAATCCATATTTTTTCCTCATTAGGATTTTATCTCATTTGGCTCTGGAGAGCCACCAGCCAGTGAGTACCATTCCTTCGTGCTTTACCATAACAATGGTCCCAGATGGGCTGAGCTGCTGAAACTTCCTATTCCTGTGGATAAATTCAGAGGAGCACACATCCGCTGTGAATTCCGACACTGTTCCAGTAAGCGCTGATCACAACTTGTGCCAGTTCTCCCTGTTAATGCTGCTGTCAGCACATGAGTTTCCGTAACACCTTGGGAGAAAGCTGCATAAACTTCATATGTTTTATAAACTTTCTCTTCATGCTTTCATGACACAGCATTTCAGGCTTGCAGCTCTGCTTAATAAAACTTGGTGCTTTGATAAAGCCTAAACACAAGGAGAAAACAATCTACTTTTATTAATAGAAATAGATAACATTGCAGCTGAAAAGTATTCTGAAACAGAATTTCCAAAGGCAAATTTACTTACCTAGTGAAACATTCCAAAATGATACCTGCTTCTTAGTATCTGCTCGGCAATCTGCCAATTGGAGAAATATGTGTGCATGGTATTGTCTATTAATATAACTTTTGTATTTTTGCACTTTGCTTTTTTTTTTTTTTCTTTTTAATTGTATAAAATTCCACAATTCCCTAAATGAAGATAAAATCTTTTGGATAAAATCTTTTGGATAAAATCTTTTAAGCAGCCGCTGATGTTTGGCTCTTTCTGGTGAAGCAGATAATAGAATCACAGAGTGACCTGAGTTGAAAGGGACCTGTAAGGATCATCATGTCCAACTCCAATATAGCAATACTATTCGGATTGCCGTTGTGGCAATCACACATGTGGAAATATATTTGGATTTCAGGTATCTAGACTTAAAATGTAAATAACAGATAATAAAGGAAGAAATACTCATTGAGTTCTTTTCAAGATTTCTTTTATAAAACTAGCAATAAGTAGTAAAGGAAAATGAAGTAATGAAAAAATGTCAGTGGTGAATTTCCAATTGGTTATATGTTTTTGCACAGTTTTTTTATGCAGTATAAGTTAAGTTAGATCTTTTTATTACAGTTTGGTTGACTGCACCACCCCAACTGCGCAAATTCAGACTCAAAAGTCATGCATATATATGTTCATGTATATAAATAAAGTTGATTAAAACTTGTTGATTTTGAAAGATATATGGCATCTACACTCTTGTTGGCTTCAGTAAAATTACTACATTCTCAGTTTTGTTGTCTTTCATATATGAGGGCTGCTCCAAAAGCAATGCCTTCTATTTTATTCTACTGGTCCACAGATCAGAGGCAGATGTTGATGGTATGGCAGTAGAGATTGAAACTTCCCACCAGTATCCCATTCCACTTTGTTGCTGTGACAGACAGCAGCAGGGGGACAATCTGACAAAATGGCATCTGACATGGAATTGTACATGGAGCAAAGGTGTGGAATTGAATTCCTTCATGAGGAAAAAATAACATCCACTGACGTCCACCAGTGCTTACTGAATGTTTATGGAGACCACAGAGTGGATGTGAGCACAGTCAGGGGATGGGTGCTGTGTTACAGCAGTGGTCACAGTGAAAGTGGGTCACTTTCACTAGTGCAAATTTTTATGACCACAGAATGCAGTCTTTTGTTCACTGCTGGCAAAAAAAATGCACATCTAATGGAGATGACTGTGTTGAAAAAGAGTGTTTTGTAGCTGAGAACTTGCTCTATCAAATAGTGTTCTTGTGCTCTTTGAATATGTTGCAGTTTCTATGCAAATAAATAGGAAGCATTACTTTTTGAGCAACCTCTGTATTTAGTTGATACATGTGTTTTGGAATTTAACCATAACCTTAACCTTAACCTTGAAAATGTTATCTGAAGCGTAACATCGCTACAGGGAACAGTGGCATCTTCAGTCATATCTATAGATATTTTATTTGTAAACAGAAGTGCTGAGGCTGACCTAAAATGGAGATTAATAAGTAGAAGTGTCTGTAGTGGATAAACAGCAAAATCAGAACAACTTTCTCTTTGTATTATAATAGCTATATCATATTCCTTTCTGATTTATAGTGAGATAACAAAAATCATTACAGGAGATAACATGCAGATCCATAAAGAAATTTAAGATACTGTTAGTCTGACAAGCTGCAAACAGCTTCCAGTAAAGTTCCTTATCCAGGATTATATCCATTTATTTTGTCTAATATTTATAATGTTAACTCAAACGCTGCTATTTTTATATGTGTTTCAGCAAAAGAAAAGGGTGAGAAGAAGTTGTTTGGCTTTTCTTTTGTGCCCCTGATGCAAGAAAATGGGAGGACTCTGCCAGATGGCACCCATGAACTCATTGTACACAAGGTAATTTGAATTAGAAATCATTAGCTATAATGATTCCTCTGTATACTATAAATGCCTTGAAGCATTAGATTGAGAAAGTCTGTATTCATAACCAAATGAGTTATAATCTTGTCACTAATAAAATACCCATTGCTGATTGTTTGTTTCCTGTTACAAACTGCAATTGAATCTAGGTGTGCATTTCAGTGCAGCAGTAGCATCATGAAGTCTTACTGTGTTACCTTATATTTCACATTTCACAAAGTTAAATACACTGAGTGATGATACCCACTTATTGAACTGCTGAAGATGGAAGATAAAACTATAATTTAAGCAGATCCAATCAGTGTTATCTTTTCTACATATTTCTATCTTGTGGAGTTCCTTATTTGTTTCCACATTTTCCAGTTATCTCTTAGTCCAGAGGGCTTCATATGCTTCTAGATAGATTTAAATTTTAAGCATCATAATTCATATCTATTAAGTTGGCATAACGCATACAAAGTTACTACTTTGTTATGACTCCAATGTCAAATATGAAGCTGTAATTCAGAAATGAAGTTGCAACAGGCGTTTCCCATTAGTGAAAACTATCCATGAAAGCAGTGAGCTGGAAAATGTGCTGGAAAATATTATCTATTCATATGACAGCTTAATCTAAGTTTCCCATCTGAAACTAGTGTGTTTTAGTTAAAGAATGTGCCACTTAATTTTCTCAATAAAATAATGATCTTCAGATAGCTTCTATGGATTAAAATTATTAATAATAGCAAAGAAAAAAACTGACGTGTCTTTATATTGATTATGTATATGAATGTGTGTGTGTATATATATATATATATATGAGGGCTGCTCTGAAATTAATGCCTCCTATTTTATTCTGATCACGGGTGATGTCAGAGACAGACGGCAGTAGAGATTCAACCTTACACCAATATACTATTACATGTTCTTGCTGCAAAACAGATGGCAGCAGAGAGGCAGTCTGACAAAATGGCGTTTGACGTGGCAGTGCATGTATGAAGCAACAGTGTGCCATTGAATTCCTCCATGTGGAAAAAAATGTGCCCGTTGACCTTCAGTGATGCTTGCTGAACATATATGGAGTCCAAAGAGTGGATGCGAGCACAGTAAGGCAGTGAATGGTGCTTTTCAGCACTGGTAGTAGTGGCAAAGGGTCACCTCTGCTGCTGCAGATGTTTAGGAGCGTGGCATGTAGGCTCTTGTTCATCACTGGCAAAAATGCACAGCTAATGGAAGTGGCTGTTGAAAAAGAGTGTTTTGCAACTGAGACTATTCTTAAATAGTTAACTAGTGTTCTTGTGCTGTTTGTTGCAGTTTCCATGGAAATAAATAGGAAGCATTTCTTTCAGAGCAACCCATGTGTGTGCATGTGTGTGGTTATATATATTTATGTATACAGATATATATATATATATATATTGATAGTGTTTGTTTGGGATGGCTTGGTGAAGTTTTTTTCTGAATTGTAAAAATGTGTGAATATTTTATTTAGGACATTTTCTAGTAGTAATGCTATTTTAAAATACATTCAAATGTACTGAATGCATTGTAAAAGCAATTTTTCATACCTTAAACTGTACTTGACTGGTACTTCATGAAATTTCTTTATTCAAAACATTACATGCGTAACTGCATGGCATTTGTTGCTGGTGCATATGCTTTGAATCGAAGCAATATTTAATGAACTCAAGTCGTTGGGATTCATTTGTATGAGAGCCTTAGAAATTTTATGGTTTCTGGCAAAGAAACAATAATTTCAGGAATTGCAGACAGTACAGTGATTTTAACTGTTTTTTTTTTCACAGTGTGAAGAAAACGCAAACCTTCAGGATTCCAGTCGCTACCTCAAACTCCCCTTCTCAAAGGGAATTTTCCTAGCAAACAACAGCCAAGCAGTAAAAACCACTAAAGAGTCCTTCTGGATTACGTCCTTTCTCTGCTCCACTAAACTCACACAAAATGGTAGGTTATGTTGATTATTTAAAACATGAACTTAAATGGGCATGATAGTTAGCCTTTTCTGTGCCAAGCAAGGATGGATATACTCAAAAATAGCTTATGTTCTATCAGTTCTACAGTCTAGTTTTCTCCATATTTTTAATATCGGGATGGAAACCAATGCAGTGTGATAAACCACTAATTTTACATAGTTCAAGAATGCTTTTAAATTAATGTGATTTTGGAATCAAATGCAGCATTCTTGGAATCAACTATCAAAACCCAGCTGCTTTACAAAAAGTCTTAATCTGTTTATTTTATAGGTTTTATGAAATACTTATTCTAGGCTTTAGGCTGTGGCAGTTTGGTTGTAATTAGGTACATATTGCTTGCCTTTTCTATCACTTCTTTTCCTTTATATCTACAAATACTACTGCTTAAGACAACCTCATACATGGATATTATGAGCGGAAGATGGAAATACATGTGTGATGTACTCTTTACCATTACTCTGCATAAAAATCTTAAAATTCTTGCCATATTTGCCATACTAACTACAGTTTATAACTGAAACAGTTTCCCCCAGTCTTCTAAATATGGTGCATTTGTTTGATAATACATTTATGACCTTTTTTTGTATCTTCACAGTGTTATAATAGTTTTTTCTGAGCTATTTATTTAATTTTTAACATATTGCTTAGCTACCTCTTGTGCTACCTCTTCACATATATATGTTGATAAAATTGCTAATTGCTTGCAAATTGATTGTAGGTATATAACAACTAGAGCAGCTTTGTAAATGCAAATAGTCATCTTAATTTTCACCATTAGAAAGCAAGTTTCCAAAGTAGAACTACATGTAAAGAGTAAATTGTCTGTTTCGCTGTGCACATCCAGTCTGTATTGTCATAACAGTTAGCTTCAAAGTAATAAAAGTTAGTCAGTAGAAGATTTTCCCCAAAGATGCTAATAGGCAATCATAGGCTAAATTTACTTCCATTAAAAGCCTTGATTTAAGAAATCACATGAACCCCCTGATGCTTACGCATGCCTGAAAGCGTGCCTGGACTAAAGTGTGTCGCTGATGAATAGTTTGAGTGTTGGCTGCAGTTATAGGAACTTAACTAATTTATGTTCACAGTACAGGAGTTATTGAATAGTTGATGTTAAAGGATGTGTGATGTAGGGCATAAAATTTCCATACATATATATATATATATATATATATATATATATATTACCATATACAGAGTAAGAGGGTGTAGAATATCTGAATAATATTGATCCCCTTTTCAGCCCTGAAGGGTTAACAATTATTTCAGCAGTACTTCAGAGGGTGGAAATATTTTCAATAGACAGGCTCATATTTTCTCCAAGGATCTTCTTTGGGAAGTTCATTTTGGTGAGTTTCCAAATCCCCATTCTTTTAAACAAAAATTTGCCAAAATCTATTGCATGCTCAAAGAATGAAAGTAGAGCAAAGCATGTGGCTATTTGGTTATGTGAGCATTGCTTCAGTTACCCTGATAGAATGTAGCATATTTTTAAAAAACAAAAACAAAACAGGATTAAAAAGATCTCTATATTTACTTTTCCAGTAAATATTTTTAGCAGTATCTCTAAAATTTCTGATTATTTTTTAATCTGGAGATTTTTCTGAAGTTGTCAATGAGCATGTGTCTACAAACAAAAATTGAAATGGAAATTTTGCTGTTGGTCTAGCTGTGGTAATGGAAGACCCCAAACCAGATTTGTAATGTGTGACTGAATTAGGCCATAGCTTTACAAACTTGCTGGGAAATTTTACTCAGCTGTCCTTCTCTCACTGATTGCCACAGTTACCACTTGCCATCAGCCTTCATGAATATTAAAATTGTGAGGAGTGGGAGAAGGAGGTTGTTGCCCAGTTGCTGGTAGCCATAACTTCCTTACTGCACATGCTTTGGAGGGGATTTTAGGATTATTTCCAAGCTGTTTTCAGAGAGCTTCAGGACACTCTGTGCATTCATCAGCAACTCTTCTAAGAACATGTCCTTGTTTAATCTGCCTGACGGTTATCTTTCTTTAGCTTGACCTTTAGTCCTAGATTGTTATTCAGATAATGGTAGCAAACGAAGTACATCTTCTTACCTGGATTTCATTTGTATTTCAGTTATAATTCATTTTTCAAAAGAACAAAGTAAAAGAGGGAGCAAGAGAAAATATAGTATTTTTCCACTGACTAGCTGTCAAAACAGTCCTATTTGGTTTTGACATTTAGGAAGACTCTGCCTGCCAGAGAGTCAGGATCCATCCAACAAGTTGGAGTATTTTAGCATGTTGGCATCCAGTCATTTCTGAGCAGTGATCAGCACATCTTCAGTAAGCAGCTGCTCATCAGCAGAGCAACATGCCATACAGCATGTCTCTTGTAACGCAGAGGTGTAATCCATCTATCTACATTTAAAAAAAAAAAGAAAAAAAAAAAAGAAAACTTGTGATTTATAGAACAACAGTATCAAGGAAAACTTTTAAGAGTGTCTTCCCCCTCCTTGGGTGGGTGGGAAGTGTTGGCTGCCTACTGAAAGAGAAATATGGATTTCGAGTTCTGAATTTGAGCTTTTTCATTTTGAATGCCGCACCAGGCTAACTTGGGATTTACAGGACACAGACGGAAAGACCACAAACCTGTTCCTTATACACCTTAATCTTTTGTTTCACCCAGTACTTTGGATTTAAATTTAAATTGCTTTGAGAAGGGAAGTTGTTTTCTTTGGTAAGGGTGGTAGCTCAGGTGTGAACAATTCTAAATGTGCAAATCAGCTCATGATGCAGAGAAGGTATTGGAAATGCTTTTCCTCTTCAACAGAGTGTATCAGCAGCACTGGCTTTTTCCAAAACTGTGTTTTCATAGTGGGCTTATTTTAGAAGACAGTTTATATTCTCATTTCTCTTAATACATGACACATTGCTATCCCTTCTTGTGATTCATGTCAGATTTTCTATTCATGTCATTTAAGCTTAGGCTATTCACTAATGCTATCTCAGCAATGACTTCCCGCCTTTGCATTTTCCTTGAAATACGTGCTTTGAAGTGAGTGTCTTACATTTGCTTTCTTTTTTTTCTTTAAATCCTCCAACAAATCCCTAATATTCAGTGTCAAGTCTCTACCCATCAAGTACCTCCAGCAAACCTGCAAAGAAGTATTTTTCCTACTATGAACTTACAGCTTTAGCGAGTTTCACTGTTCCTCAGCTTAAGGAGTGGTTTAAAGAGAATGAAGTGTAGAAGTTCATTTAATTATCCAGAAGACAAATGAAGCTCAGTGGGGATTTGTTAATGCTTGTTTCTTGAACATTCCTGACAGAAGGAATAATACCTATCACCTGTCCTTGATCGATGGGATGTTTCCCTGACACATGTGGAACTTCTCCTCACTCTCAGTGGAACTTAAGTGGCTCTCTTAATCCAAGCCATTCCGCGCTAGCACACTGAAGCAAAAAAAAAAAAAAAAAAAAGAAATGGTAAACATATTTTAAAAAATTGTGCCTACCAAAGTTAACTAAAGCAGCAAAACAGTAGAAGAATTATGTGTAGAAGGTTTGCTGCTAACAACTTTGGCAAGATATGAATATAGGTGGAGATGTATTTAATATTATTAAGGGCAGAAATGCTACTTCATTCCTTGTTATGACTGAAGGAACTGGGGCTGTTTAGTCTGGGGAAAAGGAGGCTGAGGGGAGACCTTACTGCTCTCTTCCAGTGACTGAAAGTTGCTTACAGCAAGAGCGAGCTTGGTCTCTTCTCACTGGTGACAGGTGACAGGACAAGAGGAAAGGGCCTTAAGTTGTACCAGGGTAAGTTTAGGTTGGATATTAGGAAACACTTCTTTACAGAAAGTGTTGTTAAGCACTGGAATAGGCTCCCCAGGCAGGTGGTTGAGTCACCATCCCTGGATGTGTTTAAAAACTTCTTGGATGTGGTACTCAGGGACACGACTTAGTAGAGGGCTGTTAGAGTTAGGGGAGTATGGTTAGGTTGTGGTTGGACTTGATGGTCTTTAAAGTCTTTTTCAATTAGAGTAATTCTGTGATTCTATGAGAGAGTTTAATTTCCTGGGGCAAACTGGGAAAGAACTGACACAAAATGGGTGTGAATCAAATGGAATTTTAGTGTGAAAGTGGGCTGTGGTAATAACAACCCAAATAGTTGCTGAACCAAGAGGAAGACTTGCTATTATCTACTTATTTTGAAATAGTGGGGTTGTTTCAAAAGAACGGAACTCTTCTAAAACAATACTGGACAATGATCAAGTAGAGAGAGTTTCTGCTTAAGCTGATTGAAGGTTTGAACAGTGGTTAAGGTTTTCTTTTTCAAGAAGCTAGCCTGGCTTTGTGAAATTCTGAAAAGCTGGTCAGTGAAATGGGCCAGTAGTATACTTGAAGATAAATATGAGTAACTTCTGTGCTCTGAACATGACTTGGAAGGAGTACTGCAGACCTAACAGAGAGTCACAAGCAAAAAATGTGAGGAGTAAGCAGGGAACCTGCAACAGAAAGCAGAAAAATAACAGCAGTGTGTCAGGGTTCAGCTGGGGTCAGCATGAAGTGAAAACTATTAAGCCAAGCCAACTTGCAAAACTCTGTTTTTGGGTGTTGAATGGTGTTGAACATTAAGTTCTCAATCTTACACCAGGCTGGAATTTTTTTTATTCTGATTCTGAAGCTGAAACCAACAACATGTGATTTAAGGATAATAAATACAGTACCTCTACTTAAGATAAGAGAAAGAGCGGATAACCTTATCTGGGCCATCACCCTCTAATGAATTTTATGAAAGTATTTACAAGAATTCGTGGATGAAGTAATGGATATGTAGCTAAATGAAATATGCTAGATATGCATAGGTATTCCATCAAGGCATTTCATGCCAGAATAAACTTCTTAATCTTTCTTTACTAAGGTTTTTTTTTTTTTGTTATTCGGAGGAAACATAGCAGATCGAAAACATCTGGACTTCAGTAACACACCACATGGGAAAAGTGATGCAGATTAGAAAAAGAATTTTAAAACTGTTAAATAACAGGCTAAAAGGGAAAGAGCAGGTTGCACTGTAAAGGAAGGGATTTCCTTCCTGAACAGAAGGTAAATAATACCAGATCTGAAGTATTTGGCCTGGGATTGACTCCTCTTATTTGAGTGGAGGTGGAAGGTGTTGTTAGTGGGAGATGCTTTGCTAAAACCTTGGACTGCTGAGAGCCTATCAATGACGTTTGCTTCTAATAAGTAAATGAATGGGCTCATCACCTGAGGGGATTAAGACCAAAATATGATATAGACACAGCAAGGCAACTGTAATTTAAGTAACTAGTTAGGATAGAACTTACATGGAATCTTGTGGTATGAAAAGCAGGCTTGTATGGAGATTCTTGGGGATTCTGCTATAGCCAGGGAGCTGGACAATATTAAAAAAAAAAGAAAGAGCTATTTGTGTAACCAATATGATAAATCTCAAAAAAAAAAAAAAAAAAAAGAGAATTCTACAGTGCATATGCAGTGGACATTTAAGCCTGCTAATGATGATAAAGAAAACAGTGATGGGACCTCCTCTGTAATGTTGTGTACCATTTTGGTTGAGAAAGCTAAAGAGGATGTACTAAAACTTGAGTAAGCAGAAAGACATTGAAGTGTGTTTTAGCTTAGAAGAGTTTATTTTCCAGTAGAAATGGTCTTGTTTACTAATGAAAAAGGATCGTAGAGGCAGTATGTTTGTTCTTTAAAAGACATGGGAAGATTAGTATTTTAAAATACAAGCAAACAATACATGCAAAATAATTAAGAGAGTGTTTCTAGCTGTCAGAATACAGTTCTGGAAGGCATTCTTTAATAGGATAAGACACAGCAAGATAATTACTTCTCTTAAGCTGGCAGTTGACAAATTTCTGAGCAAAACTGCATGATATGTTTGCCACAGGAGATTGATTTTAGTGACCCAACACCAAGTTCTTACGTTTCTATTAGTGAAGCAATTAGGGCTTGGAATGGAAAGTTGTTGGTTTGAGACTGATTATATATTATAGCAAATCTTGAGATGTTTTCTTTTGTTTTATTGAAACTCAATTTTGCTGTGTGGACTGCAATAGCAGAATATATAATCTGAAACCCTGCTTTGGTTCCAGCTTTAATCTTGCAATTTGTTTTGGCAGGAGATATGCTTGACCTTCTGAAATGGAGAACCCATCCAGACAAAATTGCAGGTTGTCTCTCAAAATTAAAAGAAATTGATGGTTCAGAAATAGTAAAGGTATATACCACTATTTCTTTCCTTCCTTTGTTTTGCTTTTAGATAATATGAGGTAAATGATTGTCTGTCACAAGTGTACTTACCTGTGTGTCTCAAAAATATATGTTTAATAACAAACTGCCTCTTATTCTCCAATCAGTTTCTTCAGGATACATTAGACACTTTATTTGGAATTTTAGATGAAAACTCTCAAAAATATGGATCAAAAGTATTTGATTGTTTGGTAAGTTTCATTTTGTGATAATGCTTAACACCATTTAAGAACTAAGTAAGAAATGAAACAAAAAAAAAATATTTTTTTCCCCTCACATTTAGGTTCACATAATAAATCTGCTGCAGGACAGCAAATTTCACCACTTTAAGCCAGTAATGGACACTTACATTGAAAGTCACTTTGCAGGAGCACTTGCATACAGGTGAAGTCTGTACTTTTTCTAACTGATTTGAACACTGAAAGTTATCTGTATGTTACAGTAGGAAAAAACAAACAAACAATGTTTATACGAATAGTCAAATTTTTTAGTTACCAGAAAGGCTACTTGCTAAGACCCTCTTGCTGGCTTAATTTTGTCTCTTTTTCTTCAGTGGCTTGCTTTATTTAAATTACTTTGAAAAGCATAGAAACTTTAACACCATTCAGTTAGATCTATGTTCTCTGTGTATTGCAGTGCACTATTAAGCCTCACTTGCTGTACTGTTCTCTGTATTTATTGTGTAACAATACACAAATACAGTTTACTGAGACTGCCAAACGATTCATGGAATAGCAGGGGTAGTTCGTGCTGGCAGAGTCTCCTGAGCTCAACTGAGATCAGGTACCCCTGTCACAATATCTCTACTACATGTGTAATGCTGACAATTCCCTGTTTATTAGAGGCCTAGTAGACCTATCGAAAGTCTGAAATTAACTGTAATATTGGGCTTCTAGTGATCAGCAGAATTTTGTCATAAGTTTTTTATTTTTTCAGTGTTTTCAGTCTTTTATGAAAGATCAATTTGCATTTTAAGTGCACTTAACTCTTCTACAACCAGTATGTTATAGTACTTTCTGATGTGGTATTCTAGAGATCTGATAAAAGTAATGAAGTGGCATATTGATCGAGTCACTGAAGTGGAGTTGCATGAGCACATACAGGAAGTACTAAAGGTAAGAGAATCACCTTTGAAAGCGATTATATATTACCAGCAGATTTAACTCAGTAAAAGGAACACAGTACGTGTAAATAATGAAACCGTAGTATTAATTCTAGGGAGTTGCAGGCATTTTGAGTGCAGTCAGTTGCTTTTTTTTTCCTTTGTCAATAAAGCTTGCAACCCCTAGACTCTGGAGGTCTGTCGTCCTTACTGAATGAGAATACAAGTAGGAGCTGGATGTATGAAACTGTATGTAAATTGTGTTGGTAGTGTTAACATCTGTCACATAACTGAATCTAAATGGTAAACAAGAATGCTGACTTAATGATTCAACCTTGACAGCAAGGAATTCTATTTAAAATGGTGATTTGCTTGCTCTCATCCTGTTTTGTACATTAACAGAGCACAGTGCAGAGAAAGGATGAACTGTAGAATAGAATAATTCCATTTGGGACTAAGCTTATTTTTTTTGCATTACCTGGTTAACAGTTGACAGGAAAACATTTTTAACATATAACAGGCCAAAGAAATTGTAGAACAGCTCAACATTTCTTATGTTGGCCTTGCATATTTAAGCTCTACATATTTTTGTGGCCACAGACATGCATGGATGTTTTGCAGAGGGCAGTGTTGAGATTTTGCAATTTTACTTTTTTAAAATAAATGAGTGTTCCCTAGTATGTAAAGGTTATGAAAGGCAAAAGAGTGTTTCTGGTATGTGCTTTTCAACTGTTAGTGTTGCATTAGAAATAGAAACAAAAAGTTTGCCAAAATTAAAAAGCATGGTATTCTGTTTCAGACCCTTGTCATTATTGAAGTTATATAAGCAGAAATCTTTTTATAGATGAGTTGGTTTATGTTTATGAGTTATTTCTAATTTTGACATTTTAGGCACAGGAATATATCTTTAAGTATATAGTTCAGTCTCGACGGTTATTCTCTATTGCTACTGGTGGACAAAATGAGGAAGAATTTCGCTGTTGTATTCAAGAACTTCTGATGTCAGTACGCTTCTTCCTTTCTCAAGAGAGCAAAGGAGCCAGTGCTTTATGCCAACTGCAAGTAAGTTTGTGAGCATGCCTTGGTAATGATTAGTTTCCATCAGCACTATTAAAAAAATCTACACGTGTTTTTACCTATGTTCTTGGAAAAGAAAATGTTTTTTGTTACAGCAAAATGATGTTTCAGCTTATGCACATACCTTTGTCCTATAGTGTGAAATTTTCATACCAGCAGCTTCTGAATATGCGTGACGAAGATAACCCTACATCAAATATTTAATTTTGAATTACACGCAATTCATATTATGCTTTTGACAATACCAGTGATAAAAATGACATTTCTGAACTGCTGGGTACAAATCAAGGGATTTCTCTGTTTTGAGCACTTTACAGCTTTGTTTAACCACTTTTGAGTTCAAGAATTTGAACTAAACAAAGGGCTGTCAGATTTTTTTTATTCTTTACAGAAAAATATCAATCTTGATGAACAATATATTTTACCACTCAGCTGATATATCTTTATTTCAGTTGAGATCACTAAAATTTATTAGTGCTGAAGGGCAAAGGCAAATCACTCAGGAGACAGATCTCTGCATTAGGTGTGATTTAGCAGTGTCCACAGCTTGAAGTTGTACCTCTTAGTTGTCATCTCCTGCTTCTATAAGTGTGACTGTTTAAGGTCTGTTCTTCCAAGGAGATAGTAAAATCAGAGAGAACAGGGTGGAGAAGTGGTTCTTCCATCTCATATGACATAAGTAGCTGGAGTGTAATGTCTGCAGCAAAATGATATAAACAAACATTTTGAATTATTCCTTGCTATCTTTAACCTTGAATATCGCCTGTCGTTACACCAGCATGAAAAGGGTCTTAAGTATAAGTAGCTTTTCTCCATTGGCAGGAATTGGAGAGGAAGGAGGGGATGTAAGTTCTCGCTTCCTTTCTCTAGCATTGTCTTCTTTCCTTTCTTCAGTGTTTCCACATTCATTATTCTCACTGAAAGGTTTCTAAACCTATTTAAAGATTGTTGAAATGAACGCTTCTGTCAGTGCTTCTCACTCCAGAATAAAAGTTTTCTCTTTTTGTTCTGTTATCAGCTGGCTTACGTTATCATTTCAAAAATTTACACACATGTGCAGATGATGAGAAACCTGTAAATAATAAATATTTTTATTCTAAATTGAGCTTTTTCCTTGTTTGTGAAGGAAATGTACAGTTGCGTGATAGTGTTTAAGGGAAATTAGTCACAATTATAAGAAAGTTAATGAAAGTGAGGATATTTCTTCTGAAAAATCTAGCCAATTTTAAAGGTGTTGACTTCCTTTGAAATGTAAAAATATCAGTTTTTCTACAGGTACTTGTTTTACTATAGTTATTTAAATTCTATGAATGTCAAAACCATTCTGCAATATCTAACTGTCCGATTTTTTTCCTTTTCCTCTAGGCTGTGTTTCTCAGCTCATTCCCATCTGTGTACTCTGAACTTTTGAAGCTCTTTGATGTTAGAGAAGTGGCAAATTTGGTTCACGATGCTCTGGGCAGTTTGCCGACAGTCATGCAGGGGGATGAATCCCTTCAAGCTGTTAAACTTCAGAGTATTGGGAAAACTGTAGAGAGTCACCTGTACACCAACCCAGGTAAGGTTGTCCTGGGCAGCCTGCTGTTAGGGAACTTCAGTGTTACACTTGTTATGCAGGTCAGCAGGTACTGAAGGGAACGGTGCCCCTCATAACTGCATTTCCCAGGTCACGTTTCTTCAAATACTGTTCTGTAAAAGCTGCTCATTAACAAGAATACAGTCAGTTAGAGGTTGGGTTTTCAGAGACAAATAAAAAGACAATTTTTTCTTAAACTGCTGCTAGTTATGTTCGTGAAATAAATTCTCACTGTACTTTTAAAGTAATCATAAAGGGAAAAAGCTCTACAAATGTAATGTCTTCTTTTTTTCCTCTTTGGGGCAGTCCAGCAAACAGATTTTCACTTATCCATTAAGTTTTATTTGTCTTGCTAGTTCAGCAGATTTGATCCTCTGTTTTCTTAATATGACCTAAAAAACCTACACAGATACAAGTGATACTCAATATATATCATATAAAATAATACAGCTTTTTGCTACGTGGAAGAAAAAGGTTCTGTGTGGTGATGACCCCACAGTTGTTTTTTTTTCATTTCTAAGTAAAAACCATAGTAAAGACCAAGTATTAATTTTGAGAGGAAATAATTTTGTACTAAGCAATTTAAAATAGATTTTTAAAAAGTTAGTAAGTGTTAATTTACTAACCAGAAGCACTCTTGAGAGCTCTTTGGATACTGGCTGATGGAGTTCAGTAGGAACATCAGCTTTTGCCATCTAAATCAGTCATGATAGAACAACTACAGTGATGAAGACTCTGCAAAACCCCTGGGTTATGCGTAAATATTTTGATATGCTGCAAAATAAAGTGATCCTAGAAAATAAAAAAAAATATATTAAAAAAGTGTGATTTTAAGGATTTTACTTTAAAAGTTTGAGCTCAAGGAAGTGAGTAAGTATTGGATCCTTACTTTTCTTCCTTCTGGTTGCAAAAACAGCTTTCTCTTTCCCATGTGAGCCTCCACAGAAGTCTCTTCCAGAACACTTAGCTTTTCCTATGGCTGGTTGATAAAACCTCTCCACTTTAAAAAAAATTGCTCTTTTTTTTTTTTTTTTTTTCAAAGTGCAAAGATTTTATACTGCTTTCAAGTACTCCAGAGTCTTTTTCAGACTAATTATTTCTTAATTTGTCTTGCCCAGCAATATTCATATAATAAATATATATAAATATATATATTTAATAGTTCCTGTTCCTTTGCATATGTTTTTTCATACTTTCTCACAGAACTGTTGGGGGAGATGTATGTGTTCATGTATATTTTATTCAGAAATTCAGTTTATATTACTATCACTACAGTGGATAGCAGAAATTATTTTGGAAAAGTTCTGCAAGTAATTCTTTGCATCTGTGGCTCTTTTTGAAGGAGCAAGGGAGAAGTTTTTCAGCCATACCTGTATTTTTCTTCAGCACTACAGGCAATTTTGAAAACAGTTAATGACTGTTCTGAAAACAGTGACATGTCTGTGAAGTTGGAGAGCTGGCATATGTGTTTGGTTTTGGAAATGATGTGATAATTGTTTGTTTGACTTAATCATTTTCTTCTGCTATCCACGTTGAGTCCAGTGATTGCATAAATTGAATGAGTCCAAATAAACCTAAGAACAACATCTTTGCTTTTCACTGTTCAAGTGTTTCTTGCTGTTAATTTATTTAAGATGCTCAATTACACTAGTTTTTTTTCCTGGCAGGCTGAAGTTTTATCCATTGGTTCAGATGTAGTCTTTGAAATGAATATCATCCTTCTTTAATCCTTAAAACACATTGGAGTGCTGAATTTTTTATATGTCTGTGCAAGTGTTTTACTGCTAAATGAAAATTGAGGGGAAAAATTGTGTTATGAGTTAAATGTTTAATGTTAACCTAACTTGCATAGGAAAGTCACAAGGATTGTCCAGAGTGGTATCTCTTTCTAATCTTACTAAGCATGTACTTGAAAAGCTCAATACTATGATTTTTTTTTTCTCTTTCAGTATAATATTTGTGAAGGACAAGTATTAGCATTTTAAACAGTCAGCTAATTCAGCTTTTTGCACAAAGCAACTATTAAGACAGTGACTGATTGCTAGGAATTTTGATTATTGCACCATTCCTTGCACTCATTAATTTTACTGTACACAGTGGCTGACATTGCAGCTGCAAGTTTTTAAGAAAAAAAGAGTAACCTAAGGCAGATGTAGATGCTGTGTTCTCAAAACATTCTCATAATCTTTGGTTTAGCTTGAGCAGTGGTGGAGATGTTAGCTATCCTCTGCTGTAATACTACTAGATCTCTCTTCTAAGCAGATCAAGACAGATATTTAGACTAAGAGGTTCCAAGGAACTTTTCTAAAGCTCTATTATATGTGGTGGTTAATTCAGTAAGTGGCGCTACTACCTCTCATCCGTAGTTACAAGCCATTGTAGTATGCTTTTTACTAATTTTAGGAAAGCTAACTTCCAGCTCTTTGGGAAGGTTGTTAATAAAACCCCTGGGAATCTGTCCTGAAGGCCAAGGAAGCAGAGACAGAGCTGGCAGATCCTTAAAGCTTTCCTCAGGGCTCAAGAGCTCTCCATTCCCAAGTGCGGGAAGTCAGGAATGGAAGGCAAGAGGTAGGCATGGCTGAACTGGGTCTTGTTGTTCAGACTAGGGAGCAAGAAGAAAATGAACAAGCAATGGAAGCAGGGACAGGTAACTTGGGAGGAGTAAAGGGATACTGCTTTGCAGTATAGGGAGGGGTTCAGAAAGGCCAAGGCCCAGCTGGAACTAGACTTGGCAAGGAGTGCAAAGAAGAAAAAAAGGAAAGACTTCTCTAGGTACATCAATTGGAAAAGGAAAATCCAGTAGGGTGTGCCATCCCAAGTGAGCAACACAGGAAGGCTTGTAACAATGGACAAATAGAAGGCCAAGGTATTCAACAACTTTTTTTGCCTCAGACTTCACCAGAGACTGCTGTTCACACAGCCCTTGTGTAGATGGTTTGGAAGGTGGGAACTGGGGGAGCAGTGCCCCTCCTGTTGTAAGTGAAGATCAGGTTCATGACTGCCTGAGGAATCTGAACATCCCTAAGTCTATGGGTCCTGATGAGATGCATCTCAGAGTCTTGAGGAAATCGGCTGACGTAGTCACCAAGCCACTCTTGTTGATATTTGAAAAGTCATGGCAGTCAGGTCAAGTCTCTGGTGACTGGAAAGATGGTAATATTTCTCCCATTTTTAAGGAGGACAGAAAGGGTGACCCAGGGAATTACCAACCTGTTAGCCTCACATTAGTGCCAAGGAAGATCATGGAGCAGATCCTCCAGAGGGAGCTATGTTGAGGGAGGTGATGCGGGATAGCCAGTAAGGCTTTGCCAAGGACAAGTCCTGCCTGACCAACCTTGTCACTTTTTATGATGCTATTACTCTGTCAGTGGACAAGGGAAGAGCCACTGATGTCATCTATCTTGACATCAGTAAGGCCAGACACCTGATATCTCTCAACATCCTTCTCTCCAAATTGAAAAGATATGGATTTGATGGATGGACTGTTCCATGGAGAAAGAACTGGCTGCAGGATCAAATCCAGAGCATATGGTCAATCACTCCATGTCTGGACAAATGGTGTTCCCCAGTGGTCAGCCTGCAGAAGAGAAGGCTTTAGGTGGCCTGAGGCAGCATTTCAGTATCTGAAAGGGGGCTACAAGAAGGACGGGGACAGATTTCTTAGCAGACTCTGTTGTAGAACAAGAGGAAAATATTTCAATCTAAAAGAGGGGAGATACAGATTGAGTTGTCATGGTTTTATAGTTTTTGTTGGTATTACACATCAGAACATCATTCAGTGCACCTGGAGTTAAAGAGCAAATGCTGCAGTTCCATGGATTGTTGATATTTGTGGTTTCCTGGTCTCAGAAGAGAAGAATTAACTACAACTCCCAGATTTCATTTTTCTGTTTCCATTTTCCGTTTGGAGGGAAAGATATAACTGGCTGGGAGTCAGAAGAATTCCCCTTCTTTGTTCTTTTTGCCCTCTGGCTGTTTCCCCTACAGCATTAGAGTAAGGACTTTGGTTTCAGAAACTCTCCCTCTCATTTTATTTATTAGCTTCAATTCCAATCATACTGTATTATATAGTATTATCTCACATTCTACTATTAGATTCAGTAAACTAAGATATTTTTCTCTTAGCTTGTTGCCACTGTTTTCCTCATGTATTCCCATCTCCCTGCCTCTTCCCTTCCCCTCCCCACTCTTTTTCCAAGGGCATCGGTCTGTGGGTCACTTCATCCCCTTGTCAGGGAACTAGGCTGAACCAGGCCAAACTGTGACATGAGTACAAGAAAGAACTTTTTTATAATTATAATGGTGAGGCACTGGAACACACTGCCAAGAGAAATGGTGGGTACCACATCCTTGGAGACATAAAAGATCAGGCTGGACCGGGCTTTGAGCAACCTGATCTAGTTGTTTGTGTTGCTGTTTGTTGCAGGGGAGTTGGACTAGATGACCTTTAAGGGTCCCTTACAATTCAAAAGTTCCTCTAATTCTATGATTGAGTTTTGTAGCACTTGTGTCACCCCCAAAAGAGTACTTGCCATAGACCTTCAGGCAGCCTTACACTCTAAATCCTTCATCTCTGCCATTGAAGATGGATTACTACACTCAATGTGGCAATGCTTGCATAAACATCAGGAATAATACCTAGATGGAAAAATGATTTTGAAGGGGTTGTTTTCCTGCTAGATAAATTCAATTCTTCTGAAATAATTTCATTAATATACAAAGAAACAAGTATATATAGATAGGTAGAAAATAATCTTTAATATTTTAGTATAGGAAATTGTCCCAGAGGGCATCATTTCTCAAGGAAAACACCTGAAACCAACAGCATGAAAACAAATAACACCATTCCTTTTATCAAGTTGTGGATAGGTGTTTTTTGTTATAACAAATTTAAGTATTAGAACTCTTCAATTTTAACATTGTTTGATTGTAAGAAGAAGGAGGAAAAAGTAGTATGTTTTTGAAGTTCTTTGATCATTTTGACAGAATTCAGGACTAAAAGTAGCACCAAGGAGCTGTGTTTAGGAAATGGAATACGGGAAAGGCAAATTACTCAGTGTAGACACCAGTACTCTAAATTGCTCATAGGCAGTAGGAGTGAAGAATCTGGGAAAGCAAAAATCCTGAAAGAAATTTGAAAGTAATGCTAGTCTAAAAATCAAGGCTCATTTTGCAGAATAACATAGTTTCAGGATAAAGTCAGTTGTGATTTTGGCATGCGAAGGGATCCTGTCACATAGCAGGAAACACTAGAACATAATTCCTCATTGTTTTGAATAAAGTATTATTATGCTGTGATTTTTGTTTGTTTGTTTGTGTTTAATGACAATTCAGTAAATACATTATTTCTGTTGTATGTATTTGACACAGTGGTGTTTGTATCCATCCATAGTACGTTGCCTTTCAGCATGTTATTCATTCTTTAAAAACTTACTTTTAGTTTACATGAAATTATTAATTAAAGACTTCAGCTTATAAAAAATGTTGTTTTAAGCATGTATGTAAGAGCTTTTGCTTCTCAAAAACATAGTTCTGAACACTGTTTATGACTTATCTGTAAGGTTGTATTAAACTGAAATGATTCTGTGAGAAGGTTCTACTCATAGAGGTTTCCATTTATTTCAGATTCACGATATATTCTTCTTCCAGTGGTTTTACATCATCTCCACATGCATTTACAAGAACAGAAGGACCTTATAATGTGTGCACGTATCCTTAGCAACATATTTTGTCTCATCAAGAAGAACAGCTCAGTAAGTAAACACAGTGTTACATCCGTAAGTTCTTTAATCCATAACTTCTTTAAATGGCACGCAGTAATGACAGAAGCTGGACCTTGACCAAGAACATTTTAAAGAGCTCTCTGTGTAATATTCTACATGAATATGTAGTTTGATTTCTCGGGCACCTTTTTTTTTTTTTTTTTTTCTCTAAGCAAGATTATTTAATTGTAGCACATTATTTTCCTCCAAGCTTTGAGACTTTACGAATGTTGTGTTGGACACACAAAAAAAGGCCACTTTCTTTTAGAGGTGTATTATGTTGTGAGTTATTTAGTCATAGAAGACATGAAGATGATATAGGGAATGAACTGATAAGGGTATTGCAGGAAGTATTGATGCTGGAGATTAGTTGGTAAATTTTGTGGCATATTTCTAGTGTTTGTCTTTACAAATTAATCTGTGAAAGCTCCATGTAAGAGCTACGTTAGATACATGTATTACAAACATGACAGATAATGATGAAGTTCTGTCAGGCAACTAAGATAACAAGAAACATGCATTGCTTGTATTTAATGCACTACATACAAATCAGGCCCAGCATACCTTACATTGTAATGCATTGGTAAGAACTGTTGTGTTTGTTTCTTCATTTTGAACTACTGTTAGTAATTAAAGTTGTACAGTCATTGATTTGATGTAGATGTGACATGCAACTTTGGCATCATAACATTCGTATTGCAACTGCTCTTTGTTAGTATTAGTACCTCTTTACAGGGGAAGGGGATAGATGATAAAGCATTGCTGTAGTTTAGGACTGGGAGAAAAGCTTGTATGTCCGACCTTAACTTCAAGAGAACCTTCATTTGAAGTTACCAAGTTCTTCTAGTCATGAATTCCAGTGATGTGCACAACCTGAATTTGATGTCTGCATAAAACTCTCTCCAGTGTACAGGACATTCAGATATTCTTTTCAGTAGTCTTTGAGTCACTTAGGGTTTTAACAACTTGCTGACTGCTATAAGATTTTTGTGGATCAATTCAGAACTTCATTCCTTCTGTTAATGATCTAGACCAATCAGAGGTTGATGGAACAACTGAATTTACATGGAGATATTGTTGAAAACTGTTCTTTTTTCTGTTGGTCATTCTAACAGTAATTTGTACATGACTCCTCACACCTCAGCATAGCGATTCCTCAATACACTGAATACTGCCTGCCTTCATAAGTAGCAAAGTTAACAGTAGTTTGACACTATGTGAAATGACAGAGAGAACACGACCGTGACATTAGTTTCATCTTGAGTTCAAACAAGAATTTTGTTACAGATCATATGCTTAGCGTGTGTAGGAGGAACAAAATAAAGATCTCACTCCTACACTTCAATGCCGGTGGAGTTGAATGATTCTCTTTCTGTTTGTCAGCTGAGTTTTAGCTTGGCTGTGAGCATTTGATTATGAAGTGTTTATTTCTGCAATGAAATGTCATCTTAACCAGTGGATAAAATGGCTTAGAGGAAGATGGTGTTGTCTGCTGCCTTGGAGACAGAAAACATTGCTGAAGCAGGGAAAACATATTTCTGTCTGATTTAAAAAGGAAACTTGACTTCATCAAGTGTTTTCTTGTGTCTAATTAAGATATTCATGATCTATTTTGGCGATGAACACTTTGGCTCCTTTGCACTGATGTTGTGTACAAGCTGTAGTCTTACATAAATGGCTGATTTATTTGTGCTGTTCAGTTGACAGAAAGCAGTGTGGCTGGTCCTTATTGCTGAAGCAGGTCTTGAAGGTTGAGTACCATCTATTTGTTCTCAGTGCTAGTTTAAAAGTTTGAAAACCTAGTTCTACTTTTTGGACTTTAAGCCTCATTTGTGGATTTCCTCAGAAAATATATGGGCATTACCTGTTATCAGCTTCAGTGAAAAACCCGCCAATATTATTTTAAACATTAATTGAAAATAGGAATATGCTAATTTGATGAATGTTTTCGTTTTAAAAGTCATCCTCTTAGCAGTCCTCTGTATTTCAGTACAATGTAATTGAAAATGGTCAAGATAACGTCAGCAGAATTAAACAGTATCTTAACTAGAGAAAAGTTTCTCAAATGAAATATTTGTAACAAAGCTATCATTGGTTTCTAAAGCCATATCAGAGGAAAACTTTATGGTCATCTTTCTGTTTTTATAATTTCAGTATCTTATTTATTTTTCAAGGAAAAATCTGTTCTGGAAGAAATTGATGTGATCGTAAGCAGCTTGCTAGATATTCTGTTAAGGACAATACTGGAGATCACCAGCCGACCACAACCATCAGGCTCTGCTATGCGCCTTCAGTTTCAAGATGTGACTGTAAGTTCCTTACAGTGAAATATGGCACAGTTGTTACTGGTTGGACTGGTTGAAGTACTGCATTTATGCATTTGTGGGAATTCTGTGTTTATGTCACTGTGGTAATATTTTGTGTAAAAAGCAGAGAATGAGGAAAACAAAGTAAACTCTTTGTATTTTATTCATTTTCGGTGGAAATGCTAATATTTTAAAGTATATTTATTTATGTATTTTGACACTAAAAAGAAGTTACTTTTGCGGTTGTTTGGGAGAATTAACTATTGCACCATGTTTCATTTGTTGACATTTTTAATAGCTTTCTGAATCTCTCACTGAATTTTATTTCCTGAAAGTGGAAAAGTTTCAGCTAATAACAGTTTGCTTCCTAAAATGCATATATTTTTCAGATGATGAATCAGCTCTGTATGTGCCTCCAAAATATGTGGTGCTAGCCTGTACAAATGCAGATTTATTAATTGAAAGTCATTTTGTTGTTTTCTGGGCTGAGCACTTGAGCTTCAATTCTGTCACATGAAGTAGAGCACAGTAGATGGATTTAGAAGATTAACAAGTGATATTTTGGTTAATATGATATAACAAGCCATGCAAATTAGAAGGTTGACATTGAGGCATTTACAAGACAGCTAATCATTGAGTGAAACAAACTTAAGTGTTATTTTGTTTTGCTTTCAGTAAGGTTCCCAGTTTGCTTTTGAAGGGCAAATCTGTTCTAATATGGCAGGGGACATGATTCCAGTAAGAGTTGAGGGCTTAATATTTTGTATACAGAACATTATAGGTCTTGTGATTTGCCATCTCATTATACATTTAATTAATTGCCTGATTTTACATTGTAACATTTTTTGTTAACAAATATACAGTTGATTTTCAAACTACAATTTCCCCTGAGATCAAACACTTCAAAAAGTGTTTAATACCTGTGAAAGAAATGCATTGTTGCCTTTTCTGTTTTTGTTTATTTCACTTTTCTGACAAAGAACAAACATTACTTGAAGTGTTTATGGAGCTGACCAAGTTCTGTAGAAGGATAACACCATGCTTTAATCACTGTGTTTCAGTAGGAGTATACATCTAAGAGGTTTTTTTTTTTTTCTTTTTTTCCTTATAGATTACAAAATTACAAATGCAGTGTGTGTCAGATTCTTTTTTATCTTTTGTTTTACTCTCTCATTGACTTTCCTTGTACATTGTCTTGCTTTAAAGTCAAACATGCATACACCTTGCAAAATCATTAAGGCTAAATTAATGCTATGTCATTGATTTATATCTATAGGCCCTATTACTCAAACTGAACAATCCTTATAGCTTAATAAAATAAAATAAAAATTTAACCTCCAGATCAGGCTCTAAGCAACCTGATCTAGCTGTAGGTGTCCCTGTTCATTGCAGAGTTGGACTAGATGACCTTTAAGGGTCCTTTCCAACTCTAAGTATTCTGCAGTTCTCTATCAGACCATTACTAGAAATCTCAGCTGAAGGAGCAGTTGAGTATTAAAGTCCTAGTGCTGCTAAGTCCTGAGATAATTGTTTTTTTCTGATACATCCACTTGCTTTTGGCTGAAGTTTTTCTAAAAACTTAGACTGAAACTACTTTGAAGTTTCAAATTTTTCCTTTTGTCCACAAGGAGAGCCATGTCATTGTTACCATAGGCATCTGAAAGAATACTTAATGTGGAAGTGACTCATGGCACAGCATAAGGCAATTATATGCATTTATGTAGAAACATCATGCAGTATGGGTTTATGGCAGCACACTGAGCCAGATTCTTGGAACTATTTGTAGAGCAAGTATGATGAAGTGCAGGAGTACTGCAGTAGAGTCTGTTCCAGTATGTTACCATTATTTCAAGCTCTACATATTATAAATAGTCCTTGAGAGATGTATTATGTCAGTACACAGGATAAAACTCTATCGAACTTTTTTCATCAGATGTAGTTGGAACGTAGTCAACACATCATGGTGTGATTTTCTAGGCCCGTGTGTCACTGCTCCTTTGCAATTTACAAGGAAGCAGCATAAAATCAGTCAGCAGCAAGCTGTCTGTGTGGTTCCATGACTACACTTCTTTTCTTTTTTCTTTTTTCTTTTTTTTTTTTCTTGTTTTTGTCTCAGATAGTTTTGGTACCTTGGTACTGTTTCCATTTGTAGCAAGCTGGACAGTAAAATGGATGTGGTGCCTCAAACTGAGCACAAATGTAACACATCTTGGGATGTGTAACACACAAATGTAACACACCTAGGGAGGGGCTCAGTGTTACAGAAGCTGTACTAACTAACATTGAAATAAATGCAGAGGTGAAAGTGAAGCTTACACTTCAGTTCATTTAGGATCCCAGTGATTTAGATGTTTACATTAAGAAAAATGAGGCTGCATATAAGGAGGTAGCAGAGAGGAAACCAACTAGACTCTTTTTTTTTTTTTTTTTAATTTGAAATCTTGGAAGTTTAGAACCTGAGAACCTAAATTGCAATTTAATTGTTAGCTTCATATATTTAAATAGTTATGCTTGTTCAATGAGACATAGAAAGTTACTCATAGGTTCTACCTAAGTGAATTGGCTGTGTGATTTGGCTTGACTTAGGACATTGGAATCTGGTCCTCGTGGTTGTTATCGTGGTGATTTTGTGTGTGAAGTTTGCTTCTGTGCACTGCTAACATATGGCATGAGTAGTTATTCTGTAGCTAGCCTTGGAATAAACCTTAACAAAATATGTTTGGTTGAACCTAACTTATATTACCTGGCATGATAAAATCATATTGAGACTGGATACAATATGAAATTGCAACTACAAAAAAATAATGATAAAAGACTGAAGTCTTTCTGATCTATGAAATTAATCTGATAGAAAATAAATTTTCAAATACCTTATGGGTATATACAAAATAACAGCTGTGACCTTGGTGGCTGTGCCCAGACCTTAAAGGTTAACTCTGTAGACTTCCAGTATTGTTTTGAGGAAGTTGTGTTCACTATGAACAGTGGTTTTACAGAATTTATGAGCATTATTTCTGTGCAGAATCTTACTATAAGCAAGGCATAATTATTATTTTACCACAGTGTTGTGTGTTAAAGCAAACCCCTCCCACTCCCCCAGGTATATCAGGTATCATCACAAGTATATCAGCCCTTCAAGTGTAAAACCTGTGTCAGCCATTCCTGTGAAGATATATTCCTTTTTTTTTTTTTTTTTTTGTTATTATTTTAATTCTTTTTTTACATTATGCTTTTAATGAAAGATTGGGAAAATTGTTGCTAAATTTTGCTTTAAAAATAAGTGAAAGGCAGCATGTTAAAGTAATGTAATTATACCTGTCCTTCCTGTTCCCCATTTCTGGTTGATAGGGGCCTGAAATGTGTTTCCTAATTTTGAAAAGGCATACGTGATATCAGAATTACTCTCTTACAGCATTGAGATGTGGTCCAGACCTTTCACTCTTTCCTGTCCTCATCCACTCTGCAGTTGGACCGTATTGATGCTATTCACTGTTTCTTCCCAGGCCAAAAGAGAAGAAGCAGATGGCAAAGAGAGAGAGAATCTCTTCCTTCCTGTAGTATCTTGCTCTTTTGATTGTTAACTGGAGAAACTCAGAGCAGTTCTCTACTTTTTTTATTCCTGTATCCCATGCTCTTCAGGGGACATCCAAGATGTGCATCTGTAGAGGCAGGGAGAAGTTTGTGGAGCAGCCCACAAGTTCCTTGGCTACATCCTGGAGCATACCTTTCCTAGAGTTTGAGACATGCTGTAGAGGGAGTTCCAGAAGTCAACACAGTGGGAGCGAGCGTGGCTACCCAGTGGTTAAGCTGGCTTTAATGAGAAATTCCATAGCCAGACGAAGAAAACTTTTTATCAAAAACATTTTCAGTTTTTCTCCAGTCCTATTGAGTTTTCTTTTAAACAGGAAAACAATAGGACTCTTCCCAGAATTGCTGCAAAATATTTATGTTTTGCTTCAAAACCGAGTTGATTAAGAGGTTGTAATTTTAGCAATCTTTAATCTGTTTAAATACAAAAGAAACAAATGGCAAATCAAACTTCTATTGCTTTAGCTTTTCGGGAACTATTTCAAATAGATTTTGCTGAGCAAGTGAACAGCTTTGAGGGGAAATTAATTCTTTAAATGGGAAGGATGTTCTTAGCTAAATTAATGTATTTTCATTAAATATGAAATAATGTTTTCTAATTGTATAATTAATTTCTGTCACATTTTTAAATTAATTAAAATGCTTATGATATGACAGTGTAAGCACAACTACGGAAGACCTTATAATCATTAATTCTTCTCTTCATGCCTGTATCTTAACAGGGGGAGTTTGTCTCCTGTTTGCTGTCACTCTTGCGACAAATGACCGATAGACATTATCAGCAGCTTCTTGATAGCTTCAATACAAAGGAGGACCTGAGAGTAAGTAACAGAAATGATTTTCTACTTGTTCAAGTCGCCATTAGATGTAACAGTTTCTCTAATTAGATTCTCTTTTAAATTTCTCCCTTTCAGATACTTCTGTGCTTTGATGAAACATATTTGAATGCAATCTGTTTTATAGATTAGCTAACTTTTACCCAAATTTCCATATGTACGGAGGTCAACTCTTGTTATGAGTCTAGGATTCTATTGCTTCTGCAGTGAAAGATGATAGAATAGGGAATGGAGGACTCTATAATTGTTTTAAAGCAATAAACTTAACCTCAGATCTTGTTTTATAGATAATGGCAGCCTAATGTTACATAGCTCTGCTTGATTCTTTGTGATATCCAGTTATTTGTTTGTCTTATTTATTTACTTATTCATTTATTTATGTAGGCAAGCAGACAGTTTGAGAAATGCATATTCAAAAAACTATTTTTCTTAACGGCATAGCAGGTCCATTGGCATATTGTAATGTTTTTCTTGTTTGATTATGGAAGAGAGTAGCTGCAGAACTTTTTCAGGGCAGCTTGTACCAATTTTATTGATGGACTTAATGGGTTCATGGAGATTCATTATTTTTAATTCCTTTTTGGAAAAGGAGGATGGATTAAAGAGGAAAAAAGAAAGATGAAAAAAGAAAAGGCAAGGTTAAGGTTACTTGCATAAAGATACAACACCAGGGCTTCCACTCTGCTAAACCCTGAGAAACTAATATAGAACCACATTTGGACTATATAATAAATTTTATTCAGGCAATGACCCAAATAGGAAAGTCATGACATCATAGTATAGTTTTTTGATGTTACTTTGGAAGTTATGATTTGTAAACTCAAGTATGACTGAAACTGGAAGCATAGTCATGGTGCAATTCCAGATTTTCTCAAACTTCTGATAGCTGTTTAGAGCTGTTCTGAAGAGCGAATACGATTCATTAGTGCCTTTTCTTTGTAGTAAAATAATCATATTGAGTTTGAAAGATAGAAAAACATACTACTGAGAAAGTTATTTCTATCATGAGGAAAAATTACTACCATAGAATTGTAGAACGGCTCAGGTTAGAAGCATCCTTAAAGATCATTGAGCTCTTTTCCCTCTGCCATTGGCAGGGTCACCTGCTATTGAATAGATCAGGCTGCCCAGAGCCCCATCCAGCCTGGCCTTGGCCCTCCAGGGATGGGCCATCCACAACTTCTCTGGGCAACATGTTTCAGTGCCTCACCACTTATGAGTAAAGAATTTTTTCCTAACTTCTAACCTTAATTTCCCTTTCTCTTAGTTTAAAGCTATTCCCTCTTCTCCTATTAAAAAAAACAACAAGAACAACAAAAGATCTTCTACCTAAAAGTTAAACCGGGGGGACATTTTGGTACTATTATTACTGTAATAGTAAAACAACCATCTGTTTTCACACAGCAGAGGTAATTACCTAATCGTTAGCTAATTATTCATATATGTTGTGGAACCTGACTTTTTTTTATTGAAAATATTTTCCCTGCTGTTTGAATTCTGAGCCGATATATATTCTTAGGTTTAGATTTTTATGTATGCTGAATGTTTCAAACTTGATTCCTACGTTTGGTATATCTGTGAAATACAGAGTTGAGTTTATTGAGACTTCCATGATTCTAGAACACGAAAACCTCTAGAATTATTGCTTGAATGGTGTTTGATTGGTGGCACATTTATATTCACTGCACATACATATGCTATTATTATACAAAGACATTTGGGAAGTAGCTATAGCTAGTGCCATCAGCTGTCAAAATAGAGGTTGTAAGAGTTCAAGTCCAGAGTTTATTATTTCCGTTCTGATCTCATCAAATCAGCATCAATTCTACCAGTGATTAAGTGGAAATATGTTTGATCGTAATTAATTCTAGCACTCCTCTTCTGAATCTTAAGTAATATAAGAAGTAGATTTTTTGTTAACTTGGAAATATCAAATATCACTGAAATGTGAATAACAGGAAGAGGGAAAGATGACAGCTAATGTGTTTGTCTGACACTGCTGTTAATCATGAAGTGACTGTATTTCTTAGGCTGTCTTAAACATCCTTGCCACTTGCCTCTGTATTTTGCTGTTTGCCAAGAGTGGAAATTCTTTTGTATTTTGTACTGCTTTAAGACATGCTCTTTAGGAACTGACATCAACATGAGTAAAATAAGATTTAGAGTGTAAATACTTGTGATAAGACATTTTTATTGGAGATGGTTTTAGTGACTGGAATAGTAACCATAGTTATTATTCTCATAGCTAGCACGTATTTTGGGATTTAAGCGTCAGTGGTAACTAGCATCAACTTGTTGCAGTTTTGAATCCTCTTTTTGCACCAGTTTTGATCAGCTATATCAAATTGGATTAGATCTTCTCTAAGCTGCATTGCAAATTACAGATATAATGCAGAGTTTGCAGTGAAATGTCTGAGTGTAACTCAGGGCTTTGAATTGCTATCTGCTGTGCTTTTTTTGCTTTGATTACTTCTGTTTGTAGGCATCTCTCTGTCCTGAATGATTGAGCACTGATTTCACAACGTATTTCTTCTTTCTTTGACTAATTCTCAAAGTAATTATATTTAGTGCTTGCATTAGTGCATGTTTGCACAGCATTTGTGCTACTATTCAAAAATTATCTCCATCAAACCACTTCTCCAAACAAAAACTCAGTCATGTAGGTACTTGTGAAAAAGAAAATGATTGTCATTTATCCTATTAAATGTATCTTCAGTTCTTCTTGAGAACAGTTTATAGCAAATTATTACAGACCATTTCTAGTTTGCTCAACACAGTATAGCAAAATGGAGTTTGAAAGAATTACAGCAATTTAAAAACGACACATATCTACGTATTTTTATATGACAGACATCTGAGTGGTGCTTTAAATAAGTGGTAGTTTACTGAAAGTTTTTTTCTGTTTTTGAAATATATTTACTTTAAGTAATTGACACAATGACTATTTTTATTTTAGTCACATCTTCAGGAGAGTCATTTATTTTCCACAGAAAGTAGAAGATGGAAAAAGCGTTTTATATTTAAAAATATGCAAACGATGTAAGAAAGAGATGTCAGGAGATTAATGACTGAGTGGCAGCGCCAGAGACTGTATTTCATCCTCTGTTTGAAACACCTAATTTAATAAAGCAGTAATTTTAAATGATTTCTTTTGTTTATACTTCAGTATTATTTTAAAAATATGCTCATTTTGCTTACCACAAAATTTCATCATCTTCTCGTAAATATATTTTATAGCAATTTACATAACAGAGCTCCCTTGTAGGCGGATACATTTGTTGCCACAAAAAAGCTCAGATCTAGTTCATGACAAAAGTTAACAGAGGAAATTATAAATAGGAGGTGAGAAGTAGGAAAGTGAATGAGAAAACAGTATATGTTAGCATAATGCAGCTTTGACCACAGCAAAATGGCTTTGGTTAATATGAGTGGTTTTTTAATTATCGGGTTAAAACCTGTCAGGCCTAATCTTTATCTGCTACTGGATAGCGGATGGATACATAGATAACATATCAGAATAGATATAACAAGTATATAGGAGAGAACTGATGGAGGAAAAGATCATATTTTCTTGGGGCTCTGTGTGAACTTTACCTGCTCTTTATTCCCTTTCTTCCAGCAAAAGGAACCCAAGCAGAGTACGACAGGTGCCAAAGCCTAACACCGGGTGCAATTTATTATGCTGTTCTCTAGTGGCTGCTGGGACAAGGCTGTGGGGTTGGCTAACATGGGGAATGTCTCTGGTGAAGAAGCTCAGAACTAGCCACCATTCTTCTAGTGCTATGCAAATGTATCCACTCATGCATGCATGTACACACTGTGGGACTTCTAAAAGGATTTGGTGCTGGAGCAGATAGCTCTAAATCAAATATTTGGGTGGCTTATGATGTAGGCAGATGCAGTGAAGGAGAGATCTGGGGAACAAATCTGGATGGATATGTTTGCCTGGCAGAGACAGCTGTCAAACCGTCTTCCTTGTAGGCTCCTTGGCACTCTGCAAAAATCTCTAGGATGCTGTACAAAGACCTGATAAGAAGTAACTTGATAACTGCAGTGCAAACCAAGACACTGAGGATCAAGCAATTAGGTGGAATGTTGTCCCAAACTGAAATGCTAATACAGATTTATCCTGAGAAATACGGTGTAGAGTCTGACCTACTTTAAAGAAGATTTTATGTGTATTATATTGATAAACGTAAAAGAAATTCAAAAATTTTTGTTTATTAACTGAATAAGTAGTTTCTGGTCTCTCAGAAGGCAGTGCTTCTCACTGAATCACAGTGAGAATGAATCACAGATTCATAATTTCATTACACAGGAAACTGAAATGGCTTTAAACTGAAAGATGGGATATTTAAATTAGATGATAGAAAGAACTTCTTTACTCAGATGGTGATGAGGGACTGGAATAGTTGCCTGGAAAAACTGTGAATGTCCCATCACTGGAAGTGTTCAAGGCCTGATTGGATGGCGCCCTGGGCAGCTTGATCCTAGTGGGTGGCAACCCTGCCTATGGTAGAGGGGTTGGAAATAGTTGATCCTTAAGGTCCGTGCCAATCTAAGCCTATGTAAACAACATTCTATGACTCGTGAAATGTTAAGCTAGTCAACTGACATCTTTTTGTTTGGTAATTTTAGTGCTTATAATGGATTCCTAGAGAAATGTATTACCAAATATGCACAAACTTAATCACAAGAGTTTTAATCATTAATTATTAGTTATTAATATTAATTATGTTAGTAGAAATTTAATAGTTGTATCTTACAACTCTTGCTAAAGCTATTCTTTTCTAAGATTAGGAATTTTCATGCAGTTATACTTTAGCCTCGAATTGCGCTGCATTATGTTTGTATGTTTTTTGCACGCTTATTGTAACATAGACAAATCTTCAATCTTGGGCTTTTCAAATATATATTTTATATCTAATAAATCACATATCACTGAATTGATGACACGGGTTCTATTAATATGAGAAAAAAATGGCCTAATATTCCTAATACAAAATATAACAGCAGTGTCTACATTTACTTTGTTTTTGAGCTTCCCTGAAATAAAAAGCTTATTCTGTTCTTAACCTAGCTGCCTAAAGAAATGAAGCATATGTGATATTCCTTTCCATCTGTCGTTCTTTCTGTGACAACTTTTAAACAAGCCTATGAATTTCATCAGGCTTTTGCACTGGCCTGTTGGTTCTCAAAGGCACTAAGTTTACACCTCTGCACGTGTGGGGTTTTAAGTGATCCTTAAACCATTTGGTGGTGTTCCCCAGGGAACAGTACTGGGGTCTACCCTTTTTAATATCTTTATTGGTGACCTGAACGAGGGGCTTGAGTGCACCCTCAATATGTTTGCAGATGACAAGAAACTGAGAGGAAGCGTTGATCTGCCTGAGAGTAGGAAAGCTTTTCATAGGGATCTGGAAGGCTGGGTAGCTGGACTGAGGCCAGGGAAACGAAGTGCCAGATCCTGCACTTTAGCCACAATAACCTCACATGATGCTACAGGTTTGGGGCAGACTGACTGGAAGACTGCGTTGAGGAAATGGACCGGGGGGTTGCATTGACATGTTGTTGAACATGACCCAGTGTGCCCAGGTAGACAAGAAGGCCAATGGCATCCTGGCTTGTATAAGAAATAGTGCAGTCAGCAGGAGCAGGGAGGTGATTGTTCCCTTGTACTCAGCTGTGGTGAGGCTGCATCTTGCGTACTGTGTTTGGTTTTCAGTCCCTCACTACAGGAAAGACATCGAGACTGGAGCACGTCCAGAGAAGGGCAACAAAGCTGGTGAGGTATCTGCAGCACAGGTCTCATGAAGAGCAGCTGAGGGAACTGGGATTGTTTGGTCTGGAGAAGAGGAGGCTCAGGGGAGAACTTATCATTCTCCACAACTGCCTTGAAAGGAGGTCATGGTGAGGTGTGGGTTGGCCTCTTTTCCACGTAACTAGGGATAGGGGATAGGGATAGGGATAGAAGGAACGGCCTCAAATTGTGCCAGGAGAGGTTCAGGTTGGATGTTAGAAAAATTTCTTCTCTGAAAGAGTGGTGGGGCACTGGAGCAGGCTGTCCAGGGATGTGGTTGAGTCACCATCCCTGGAGGTGTTCAAGAAAAGTTTAGATGTTCTAAGGGACATGATTTAGTGGGGAAATATTGGTGATAGGTGAATGGTTGGACTAAATGATCTTAGAGGTCTTTTCCAACCTTGGTGATTCTATGATTCTTTGGTTTCCCAACAGCAACCATTTGGTCTCTTCAGGTCGGCAGCCATTCAGTAGCTCTGTAACAGCAGCAACGTGTTTTGTGTCTGGACAGTAGACAGTGTGGAAGAATGGGGGAATTACTGTGAGGTGACAAACAGCAGCATTTGGGGCATTGCCATATTGTTGTGATAACGGCACAGAACTGCAGAAGTTACTGCAAAGGGAATGGAGGTAAACCCTAAAGGAAAAAAGGAGATTATAAAGTATTGAAATTTAATAAGGTGGAAAACTATATTTAGGCAGTCTGGGATAAATCTGTTGGTTATGAAGCTACTTGTTTATTTGTAAAGCTGGTCACCTGCATTCAAACACTGTATTATCTGCATTGAATCACATTTATACTCTCTAATACAGAGAAATTTTTGGCAACTTACTCAGAAAACAGGTTGTCTCTTTTATATAATCTTCTCTGGTGGGTGGGTGCTGGGATCTCAGCTGCCTTTCCCAGCGCCTGCATTCATCCCCCTTTACAGTGATTTTCTAATGAAAGACATCTGTTATGCAATACCCATCTACACTTTGGTAAATGTACTTGAGAATATATTCTGGTGTTCAGAATTATTTGATATCCTCTGGTTGTGTCTTCATCTCATCCCTGTTTGAAGGTCTGTCTCTGCAAGTGATGTTAGCAGAATCAATATGAAACATTTCAAGGTCAGATGCAACACTGGTACTGTTAGGTGAATTGTATTACTTGCCTCATTCTTCTCATGATATCAGAAGCTCCATTTGACTTACTAAAAATTTGTAGACAATATACACAATCAAGATCAACTATTAGAAATATTACTCAATTTATAGTTTTACTTATCAAAGAAAAATCTAAAAAACTCGTTCTGGGAAGAATAGTTTAATGTAGTTGTGTACTAGTGAGTTAAATGACAGGAGATGATAACACTAAGCTCGTAAACAGTGCTTTCTAAATTCAGAGTAGCTCACATACATTCAATATTTTTATAGATTGAATAGAAGAGGCAGAGAGGTTAAGTGATCTGTATACAGACAGGCAACTGCAATAACAGTTCAGGGGTCTGAACACAACTGTTGACTTTACCAGTATTTGCAAACCCAGTGTTACAGTTGTCCTTACATTCTCTTTCTTTCCCACCAAATAATGCCTCTTTTAAAATAAGTCTTGAATGTGATGAAAACCTGACATGATTAAGGAGGTATTCAGAATTCTGTGGTGTTTGTAAAGTGCTCTTTTGATTTGCAAAGCGTTCTCGGGATCACATTTGTGGAAGTGTATGGGTGGAAACCAAATGCATCTTTATTGCGTGTATTGCTGTCATTCAAGTAGCAGATTAAATTATTTTCCTCTTCTTAAGAAAAAAAAAAAAAGAGAATGTAATGCTATTTGAAGCTTTCTTGGGGAATGAAAAATTAAAAAAAAAATTCTGGGGTATGTTGAAAATAAACGTTAAGGGTTTCAGGGTTATATTTCTATTCTGCTATTACTATAATGATTTTATTTTGTCTCTGACTAAAATATAAAGCTCACTGCTCTTTATAAAGCATCAAAGCCATAAGACTACTTCTTTTCTTTCCAAAGGATTTCCTGCTACAGATTTTCACTGTATTTCGGATACTGATACGACCAGAGATGTTTCCCAAAGACTGGACAGTGATGCGATTGGTTGCGAACAAGTAAGACATTGCATAAAAGTGTGTGAAGATCACAATGTAAACAAATAAAGTTACAATATGTATATAATAAAGTAAGCAAAATATGGCTTATAATGCTGGCTGAAATTTTTCATTTCAGAGTTTAAGATTGGATTTAAGTTTTTAAATTGCTGCACTTATTTTACATAACAGATTTATAATATTCATATACTCTGTATTTCAGTAAGCACACATAACTGGAAACTCAGAAACACTTTTACAGATTGAAGATGCTAAGCATCAGCAGCTTTGTTTTCCACATAGCAAATGACAAATCTCAACAGAAGTTCATCTCAACTCTGACTGTTAAAATGCTGAGTTAGTAGATATCTCTTTGCTCTCCGGAATAAATTGTCTCCTATAACATCATTAACAGTGTTTCTGCATATTTAGAGAAAAATCACAGATTGAAAATCACAAATCAACACAGGAAACAGTAGCATGGGGCTCTAGGAATTCCCTACTGATAGTCTGAAATATTGGGATGGCCCTTGAGCCATTCTTCCTGTGCTCTAGCCTTATTTTTACAGAAGCAAGTTCCCAGCATTTCTGAGAAGTCATTACAGCAAGTCTAAAACAATTGAATTTTATTTCGTCAGTGTCACCAGCTATCCTTCTGTGTAGGCTTAAGTTTTGATCAGATAAGCCAGCTGATCAGTCAATAGAATTATCTAACCATTGGAGTCAGCAGAAGAGGGGGGTTGTATTGAGCAGACAGAGGAATCCAGACTTTGGGATTTACATGAACAACAATGCCTGTTGAATTGGTTTTTAGTCTGCATTGCACTTACCAGCACCTAAAGGAATTTGAATTCATAGTGCTATGCAGACAACTAAGAACAATCTAATGGTTGCAGTTAAATCTGACAGAATTATGATCCTGATGAATGTTGTATGCATGTGTGGTATTTGTTTGAACTTTATCGTGACTTGATAAAATAACATTTTTGCTCATTTTTATTAAATAATTCAGTAATACTAATCTTACCTAATTTGAATTTTAGTAAAAAAATGTTAATAATCAGAAAATACATACGATGCATCTGATAATCATGCTTAAGATATAAACTGAGATATACAGGAAGGAGGGAAAAACATAGGTATTCTTAGACTAAGCATATCGTCTAAGAAGTTGTTACATATTCCAGAAACAGCTGGCTTGGCAGATGGCTTTGCAACAGCTGACATGTACAAAACTAAGATTTAGGAATGACCTTGATGCGTGTTTCTTGGACTGGTGGTGTTCAGATATGCTAAAGATGTTGTTGTCAAGTTCTGCAAAAGAATGTGCTTGCATTTGTATTCTGGTTAGCATCAAACATATTTTATTAATCCCTGTCAGTTGGTTTTGACCATCTCTGGTCAAATTGTGGCTCAAACTATGCACTTCTGTCAGGCATGGAAGACAGACAGAATTTGGCAAACTGACCCTGTTAATGTGCAATTGCATAAACCTTACTTGCAGCAAATGTTATGTAAGCACATATTTACAAATATAGCGTTTAATAATTTTATTTCCTGGGTATATTCTCCTTTGTGGGAGAAATTATGCTTTGTGTTGTGAAAGAGAGTGTTGGTTGGGTGTTTGGAGTATTAAAAAGTCTGTGTGCAAACCGAAGAATCATCATTAGCATTCTTTTATATCATTGGCTTAATTTCTGTTTCTTTTTGAGAGCGCAGAAGAGAAAATCCACCTCAATCCTTAGCTGCGGACAGAGTTTTTCAGGACGAGTTTTTCTGAATGGGAATGCCTTCCTTTCACTTGTTTCCCTACTGCCATTTTTTGAAGCTGTCTTCCTTCATCTTCCCTGAGGAATTCAAAAGCAAAGAGACATGAAAGTGATAGCTTTGCTGAGATTTTCCCAACCCAAAGTCTTTCAGTAGGAAGGGAAGATACCAAAGGCAGGATGAGAGGTTATGGCACTGCCTGCACCAAGGGCAGAAGCACACTTGAGCAGTTCTCCTCTAACATTGCTTGCAGAGCCAGAACACTTCCAGTGATCTGAGTCGCTTTGTGATTGAATGCAAAACGTCTTGAACTTCATGTCTATGAGGAAAAAATGTAGCCCATCCTTTTAAGAGCGTAATCAAGTAATTCATTTAAAAATTTGGCTGTTTTCTCACTCCTTCTTGCCAGGAATAAAATTCCTGTCATGCTTCCTGTGTCACACAGCTGCATTCTCACCTGCCTGGGCTCCAGCCTGAGAAACAGGCACCGATCTGAAGGCAGCGTGTATCTTGGGAGCTTCCCCCATCACTGCATTTGTATCACCAGCAGCACTGCCTTTTCTCCCCACTCCCCAGAGTCATATGAATATTCAATCTGTCTGGTATTTACAGGAAGAGAGATTTAGCCTGTCTGAGCCTAGGAAAAAAGATGAGTCCCAGAAAGGATATAATCGGGTAATAAGCTTTTCCTGAAGGGGGAAAAAGTTTTCATTTGGTCTCTTATTTATAAATGCAGAACTTCATTTACCTGAAAGATTTTTAGATTTCAAAGCCATCAGAGTATTTCAATATATAATAATTATATTTAAAAAATAATTGCTGTTCTCTTGCTTCTAGAATTTTTTATTTCTTGTTGCACTATTGTCATTAATTACATAGCATCTGATACTTGGATGCTGTCTGAGATAAAACAGAAGGGAAAGTACTGTGAGCTAAGAAGATAAATTTGGATCTATCCAGAAATTAGGATACTTTATGATGATGCAGCACTCATGGTCTGTAATTCTGAATGTCTGAATACCCATGATGAAAAAACATTAATGACTAGCATTGAGAATCACCATGTGACTTCTTCTAAAGTTTGAGAAACAAAGTAACATAAAAAGACAGAATCACAGAATCTGTCTGAGGTTCCTATGACATGCTGAGTAAGTCTGATATTTGTAACATACTGCACCTACATATTATGTAATAAGGAATGAATTTTTCAGTTCCCTTGCTATTGAAGAAGTTTTTGTTTAAAGATTTCTGTGAGATTAACTAACTAATATATATTCTTAGAGCATTTTCCTGAATGGCAGAGAAGCTAGATCTCCCAATTCTCACTTCAAATTCTGTGAGCATACAAAATGAATGCATGAATATGGTTATAGAAAAATCATTGATCTGTAGAATAAGATTTACTCTAATGTATTGTTTATAATAAAATTTCAAACGCATCTGCTGACAGTTGGGCATATTGACTTTAAATAGAAAGTCATTTTGGTTATCCAATTCAATGACAACTGGAAGACATGACTATTATTATTTAGAAATATTCAAACAGTGCACAATAAAGGAATCATGACAACAAATTAGCATTAGTTTCATCATTATGGCTGCTTTGAAGAATCCTGTTAGCTCCCATGGTGTGGGAGTTTGAGACTCCTACACTGAACAAAAATTCTTGCTTGAATGTAATACACAGTGTTGCCAACAGCATTCCTGGTTGTATGTAATACAAACAATTGCTTTCAACTGAAGCTGTAAAAATTCATCTGAACCGTTCAGTCTGTCACAAAGTGTGCACACAGATATATAGATACAGTGGAAGGTGTATACATGGAAGTGAATCTCTGTTCATGTTGTTAATTTATGAAATATGAAAGACAATTTTTTCTTTTTGAATATCTCTGTGCTTTGAATGATTTTTGAAAGAGAAGGATAAAATGGGAAGTCTGTGTTCTATATTTGCTCCATACCAGAATGGAAAAAGAAAACTTTTGTTTTCTACAATTGGCTGCCCAAGCAAATTCAAGTTACCAGAGCACAGTCCAAGTGCCAAACCAGCTCTTGAGCTTATAAGGACTGCTGTGGACTCCTGAAAAATCTTGCTATAGAAATAATTGGGTGGAGAAGTCGCTCTGACAGAAGTGTCCTGACCAGACCTTGGGTTGGCATTCTGTGTATGAGCCCTGAATAATGTAATAGTTACAAGCAGGTGTTTTCTCATGTAAAACAATGAACAATTTTGTGGCAGGAAGAAAGGAAAGTTTGTCTCAAGCTCAATGTTTTCTTGATAGATATTCAATTAGATTTTAAATAAATGTGTGCTATTTTGAAATTGTTGGCTGGAGAGCAACTTGGAATGTGAATATTGGACTGGATCACTCAGCTGTTCATCTGTTCTCAGGTTGCTGTCCCTAATTTGTGCATTTTTAAATTCTTTTCTTTATAGAATCTATTTTTTTATTTTCTTTCTTTCTTTTTTTTTTTT